TCATCTCCATCTTGTTTCAGGGCCAGAGGGCAGCCTCTCTGCCAAGGAAGGAACGCAGCCCCCGGCGGCTCAGAAGCTGGTGGAGCTGCCCCGACAAGGAGAAGCGAAGGGGTCCTCACCACCAGGCCACTAGCGCACGGAACGGCCAGGGCCGCCGTTAAAAAGGAGAAAAATAAAAGACATGAGCAACAAAGCGGCAGTAAACACACATCTATCAACAAGTGAACCTAAACAACAAAATGAGCGCACAAGCGGAACAGAAACAGACTCACGGATGCAGAGACCACTGTGCTGGGCGCCAGAGGGGCGGGGCTGGGGCGGGGGAGCGGGATTGGAGCACAAATCGGTGCTTACAGAGCAGCCACGGGGTGTAAGGACAGCACAGGGGGTGCAGTCAGTGATGGGCTAACTCTGGGCGGTGCCGGGTTGGGGGGTGGTTAGTGGGATGATCACCCGGTTATATAATGTGTAATCACTGGGGTGCACACTGAACTAATGTAATATTGCATGTCAACTGTAATGGAAACATAAAAATGATTTAATTTTTTAAAAATAAAAATAAACCAAAGAGAAACAGAAGCTGGGCGGGTGGTGTGGGCTGGGCAGGTCAAGGCTGGCTGGCTCTCTCAGGCCACCTGCCAGCTGGGATCTGGGCCCTGTTTGCCAGCTCCGCCCGCCCTCTGACCAGCCAACCTCCCCCCACTCCTCCAGTCTCTGTAACGGAAGCTCTGTCCATCTGTCCAATGAGCCGGGCTCTTACTAAAATACAGCCCGGCAGCCAGACCCCCGACCAGGGAGCTCTGGGTTGGAGGGCAAGTTCCTCCTTCCCTGGCTCGGCCCAGGCCCCAGGGGAGGCTGCGGAGCCGGGAGCCCCACGGAAGCCCCCATCCAGGAGGGAGCCCCAGCGAGGGCCGGGGCTGCTCCGCTGGGTGGCTCTCACGCGGGTCATGGCCCGGCCCAGCCCGACCCTCCTCGCGCTCCCTGCCTGTGGCTGGGCCACCTCCCGTCGGACATCTCTGCCCAAAGGCCTCTCTGCTGTTGCCCAGGCTCCTCCCACGTAAAACCATGACTGACACCCACCAGCTCCCTCCCTGGCCCAGCATCATTTTTCAGTTTTCCGAGCAGCTGCCTCCGGCACGGTGTGTGACAGAGGAGGACGGTCACTGCGTGGGGGCAGCGAGCGGTGTCCGCCGGCCCTGAGTTGGTCACACGGCTCACATGAGGGCCGCTTAGTGGCTGACAGCCTGGTGCCGGAAGGCGCCTAGAAGGGGTGAGGCGCGTGAGTTTGGGACTCATTGAATGGTCCCGGGTTGAGTCCTGGCTCTGACTCTCCGGTGTGGCACCACGCAGGCCCTACCTGTTGGCCTCAGTGTTGTCATCTGTAAAATGGGGATCACAAAGTAAGGAGGTGGGGACTGCCTGGTGCGATGATGTGAGTTAGGTGAGCATGCAACGCTCATGCCTGGAACGGGCACATGCGGTGCCAGGGCTCATTGCGTGCCGTCCACTCTTACTGAGAGCACCTTTTGAGCAGGCCTTGGGGGAGGCTATTCTTTTCCTTCTTGGATCTAGTTAGGGAGCTATGCTTTGGGCCAAGGAGATGGTGATGGTGATGGTGATGGTGATGGTGATGGTGATGGTGATGGTGATGGTGACGGTGATGGAGATGGTGATGGAGATGGTGATGATGATGATGGAGATGGAGATGGTGATGGTGATGGTGATGGTGATGGTGATGGAGATGGTGATGGAGATGGTGATGATGATGATGGAGATGGAGATGGTGATGGTGATGGTGATGGTGATGGTGATGGAGATGGTGATGGAGATGGTGATGATGATGATGGAGATGGAGATGGTGATGGTGATGGTGATGGTGATGGTGATGGAGATGGTGATGGAGATGATGATGGAGATGGTGATGATGATGGTGATGGTGATGGTGATGGAGATGGTGATGGTGATGGTGATGGTGATGGTGACGGTGACGGTGACAGAGACGGTGACGGTGACGGTGACGGTGATGGAGATGGTGATGGTGATGGTGATGAGGATGGAGATGGTGATGGTGATGGAGATGGTGATGGTCATGGTGATGGTGATGGTGATGGTGATGGTGACGGTGACGGTGACAGAGACGGTGACGGTGACGGTGACGGTGATGGAGATGGTGATGGTGATGGTGAGGGAGATGGAGATGGTGATGGTGATGGTGATGAGGATGGTGATGGTGATGGAGATGGTGATAGTGATGGTGATGGTGGTGGTGATGGAGATGGAGATGGCGATGGTGATGGTGATGAGGATGGAGATGGTGATGGTGATGGAGATGGTGATGGTCATGGTGATGGTGATGGTGATGGTGATGGTGACGGTGACGGTGACAGAGACGGTGACGGTGACGGTGACGGTGATGGAGATGGTGATGGTGATGGTGAGGGAGATGGAGATGGTGATGGTGATGGTGATGAGGATGGTGATGGTGATGGAGATGGTGATAGTGATGGTGATGGTGGTGGTGATGGAGATGGAGATGGCGATGGTGATGGTGATGAGGATGGAGATGGTGATGGTGATGGAGATGGTGATGGTCATGGTGATGGTGATGGTGATGGTGATGGTGACGGTGACGGTGACAGAGACGGTGACGGTGACGGTGACGGTGATGGAGATGGTGATGGTGATGGTGAGGGAGATGGAGATGGTGATGGTGATGGTGATGAGGATGGTGATGGTGATGGAGATGGTGATAGTGATGGTGATGGTGGTGGTGATGGAGATGGAGATGGCGATGGTGATGGTGATGAGGATGGAGATGGTGATGGTGATGGAGATGGTGATGGTCATGGTGATGGTGATGGTGATGGTGATGGTGACGGTGACGGTGACAGAGACGGTGACGGTGACGGTGACGGTGATGGAGATGGTGATGGTGATGGTGAGGGAGATGGAGATGGTGATGGTGATGGTGATGAGGATGGTGATGGTGATGGAGATGGTGATAGTGATGGTGATGGTGGTGGTGATGGAGATGGAGATGGCGATGGTGATGGTGATGAGGATGGAGATGGTGATGGTGATGGAGATGGTGATGGTCATGGTGATGGTGATGGTGATGGTGATGGTGACGGTGACGGTGACAGAGACGGTGACGGTGACGGTGACGGTGATGGAGATGGTGATGGTGATGGTGAGGGAGATGGAGATGGTGATGGTGATGGTGATGAGGATGGTGATGGTGATGGAGATGGTGATAGTGATGGTGATGGTGGTGGTGATGGAGATGGAGATGGCGATGGTGATGGTGATGAGGATGGAGATGGTGATGGTGATGGAGATGGTGATGGTCATGGTGATGGTGATGGTGATGGTGATGGTGACGGTGACGGTGACAGAGACGGTGACGGTGACGGTGACGGTGATGGAGATGGTGATGGTGATGGTGAGGGAGATGGAGATGGTGATGGTGATGGTGATGAGGATGGTGATGGTGATGGAGATGGTGATAGTGATGGTGATGGTGGTGGTGATGGAGATGGAGATGGCGATGGTGATGGTGATGAGGATGGAGATGGTGATGGTGATGGGGATGGTGATGGTGGTGGTGATGGTGATGGTGGTGGTGGTGGAGATGGAGATGGTGATGGAGATGGTGATGGTGATGGAGATAGTGATGGTGATGGAGATGGTGATGGTGATGGAGTTCTCTCTCTCCGTCTCCTGACTCCGGCACTGCTTTCCAGACATTCCAGGTTGGAGGAGGCGATCTTAACTGGGAGGATTCTGGATTGCGCTCGTGAGCCTGGTGCGCAGACAGCCTGGGTGCTGCTGGCATTCTGCTACCCTTTGGAAAAGGAGCCGCGGACCCCGGCCTAGTGACTAACAGGTTTCCTGTGTTTCCTGCCTGCGGACCAGATGCCTCGCCCCCTGGACCAGGAGTCCGCAGAACGGGGCAGGGCTGCACTGGAGGCTCTGGTCTGCGTCCACTGCTCTCTCTGAGCCTCAGTCTCCTCATCTATACAAGGAGGTCTCCAGCGTCCCTTCCCGAGTGAACGGCCCCAGCCCTCATCTCAAGGAAAACACAGTGGCTCCCAGGTCCCCGTGGCCCTACCCCACTGGGCCCGCCACGGTTCCCCAGGTGGTCCGGGCCCGAGGACAGAGCCCCATGGCTCCAACCCCAGCGAGTGGGCCCTCCTGCCAGCCTCTCCCCTCCCCGTCCCAGCATGACCCACGGGCTGGGGACAGAGCGCAGCACGCAAACGCCGCAGTCCCAGCGCCGCCGCCACACGCCGCACACGAATAAATGGGCCGTGAAACACAGCGCAGTGCGTTTTAATGGTCTGCGACAGCGAAGGCAGAATGAAGAATCGCTCCTGTGGCCGCCACCCATTAACTCCTTCCTTTCTGGCCTCTCCCAGCCCAGCCTTCCAGGTAAATAAATTGGGGGGCAGCAAAATGGTGGTCAAGACAGTACAGCTGTGCCCGGCCGGTGTGGCTCAGTGGTTAAGCATTGACCTATGAACCAGGAGGTCAGGGTTCGATTGCCGGTCAGGGCTCATGCCCAGTTGCAGATTCGGTCCCCAGTGTGGGGTGTGCAGGAGGCAGCTGATCCAGGATTCTCTCTCATCATGGATGTCTCTCTCTCGCTCTCTCTCTCTCTCTCTTTCTCCCTCTCCCTTTATCTCTGAAATCAATAAAAATATATTTAAGAAAAAGACAGTATGGTTGTGGCCTAGCCTGTTTGACTCAGTGGTGACAGTGTCAGCCAATGACTGAATGGTCCTGGGTTCGATTATAGTCAAGAGCACGTACCTCAGTTTTAGGCTCAATCTCCCGCCCTGTTTGGGGCACATACAGGAGACAACCAATCGACGTGTCTCTCTCACATCAATCTTTCTCTCTGTGTCTCCCCCCCCCTCCTTTCCACTCTCTCTAAAAGTCATTGGGAAAATGTCCTCAGGTGAGGATAATGAAAGAAAAGCAGACGGCTGTGAAGTGACCAGGCGGCTTCCAGGAAAGCTCGGGCTGGTCCTCTTCCTGCCGGTCCTGCCAACATGCCCCTCAGGGTCTCCCAGGAGGCCACCCCACCCTCCAGCTGCCGCCCAGAATAAGCACCCCCCTGAGACAGGCAGTCTCTGGGGACGGCCGTCCGGTGTCAGCTCAGGGAGCCGACCGGGAAGCTTTCTAAA